ATAATTTGAGCCATATGTGTAATATAAAATCTTCTGATTGCTACATTTTAGAAAGTAAAAAGATATGTCCTGACAATATAAATTTTAATAATATATTTCATTTAATTGAGAATGTTAAATTATTTTTTAAAACTTTATTTATTGATCTGAAATTCAGAGTTACAGAGAAAGAGGGAGAGAGAGAGAAATCTTCCATCCTCTGGTTTATTCTCCAGATGACCTTAATGGCCAGGGCTGGGCCAGGCTGAAGCCAGGAGCCAGGAGCTTCAACATGGTCTCCCACATGGGTGTGAGAGGCCCAAACACTTGAGCCATCTTCCACTGCTTTTCCCAGACCATTGCCAGGAGCTCGATTGAAAGTGGAGCATTCAGGACACACACAGGCAGTGATTTTAGCCTTTAGGCAACAACACTGGTATCTATTGTTTTTCAAAAAATGTTGTTTTAATTTATTTTTTTAAGATTTATTTTATTTATTTGAAAGACAGAGTACAGAGAGAGTTAGAGACAGAGAGAGGTCTTCCATCCACTGGTTCACCCCCCAGATGGCTGCAATGACTGGAGCTGTGCCGCTCCGAAGCCAGGAGCCAGGAGCTTCTTCCAGGTCTCCCACGTGGGTGCAGGGGCCAAGGACTTGGGCCATCTTCTACTGCTTTCCCAGACCACAGCCAAGAGCTGGATTGGAAGAAGCAGCCGGGTCTCGAACCGGTGCAAATTTAGGATGCCAGCGCTTCAGGACAGGGCGTTAACCCACTGCGCCACTGTGCCACAGCGCCAGCCCCTGGCCCCTGTTTTAATTCATTTTTAAGGCAAAGTTACAGAGACAGAGAGACAGATATTCCATCTACTGGTTCACTCCCCCAAATGGCTGCAATGGCCAAGGCTGGTTCTGGCCAAAGCCAAGAGCCTAGAACTCCATCCAGGTCTGCCATAGGGGCAACGGGAGTTTGAGGACTTGGGCCATCTTCCACTGCTTTTCCCAAGTGTGTTAGCAAGGAGATGGATTGGATGTAGAGCAGCCAGGACTTGAACCGCACTCAAATGGGATGCTGGCATTGCAGGCAGTAGCTTAACCCAGTGTGCCACAATGCCAGCCCCTACATTAGCATTTGAATACATGACACAAGCTGCATTTCCAACGCTTAGGAGTCCTATGTGACAAGTGGCAATTAAATCAAATAGCATAGTAAAAGCAAGAAGGGCTTCTTAAACTATTTAAGTTAAGGTACATGTAGAAATGAAAACAGAAGAAATAGATGACTGCTCTCAGCCAAAGGCTATGCGAAAGTTAGGCTTCCCTGGTTGAACTGTATGACCATGAGTCAAACCCGTAGAAATTATGCTTCCAGGCACAATAATTGGGATGCACTAATTGATAGCATTGAGTCCCAGCCTTTTTAATTTTTAGATTTATTTTACTTGTTTGAAAGGGAGAATTACAAAAAGAGGAGGGGAAACAGAGAGAGAGGGAGGATTTCCATCCACTGGTTGACTTCCCAATGGCTACATGGCCAGGGCTGGGCCAGGCTGAAGCCAAGAGCCAGGAGCTTCTTCCAGGTCTCCCACATTGGTGGCCAGTGCCCAGGCACGGAGGTCATCCTCCACTACTTTCTCAGGCAGATTGGCAGGGAGCTGGAGCAGAAGTGGAACAGCTGGGTTTGGACGGGCTCCCATATGGGATGCCTGCACTGTAGGTGGCAGCTTAACCCGCTATGCCTCCTCACTGGTCCCAGTCCAACCTTTTTAAGTGATGGACCCATTAACCTTCCTCACATAGTAGTAATTATACTTCTGTTCTTCCATATTTCATTTTTTATACTTTCATTTGTTCACTTAATAGATAGCTACTGATAGATATAGAGATGATCACACATATGCATACTCTAAGGTACTTCAAAAGATTTGTGGAAATTGGAATTAATAGATACGTTTATTTTGGTGTAAAAAAACTTTAAATCCATGCGTAAATTTTCCTTGAACCTTTTGAGGAACACTTATTTGTATGGTTTTCAAAAGTTTTGTGCAGGGCTGGTGCCATGGCTCACTTGGCTAATCCTCCGCCTGTGGCGCCGGTACCCCGGGTTCTAGTCTCGGTTGAGGTGCTGGATTCTGTCCTGGTTGCTCCTCTTTCAGTCCAGCTCTCTGCTGTGGCCTGGGAAGGCAGTGGAGGATGGCCCAGGTGCTCGGGCCCTGCACCCGCATAGGAGACCAGGAGGAAGCACCTGGCTCCTGGCTTTGGATCCGCACAGCGTGCCAGCCGTAGCAGCCATTTAGAGGGTGAACCAACGAAAGGAAGACCTTTCTCTCTGTCTCTCTTTCTCTTACTGTTTAACTCTGCCTGTCAAAAAAAAAAAAAGTTTTGTGCTAAAATAAGCTCATCTTTTAATTTCACACTTGACAAGGCATCATGGCAGACAGGGAGAGATGGAGACAGGGAGATCTTCCATCCACTGGTTCACACCCCACATGCCTACGACATCTAAAATTCGGCTAAGCTGAAACCAGGAGACGGGAACTCCAGCTGTCTCCTACACAGGTGCCAAGAATCCAAGTACTCGAGCCATTAGCTGTGGCCTCCCAGAGTGCACATTAGCAGGAAGTCAAATTGGAATCAAAGGTGGTACTCAATTTCACTACTCTGATATTGAATTGTGGGCAGCCCATGTGGTGCCGTAAAATGCTATACCACAATGTCTACCCACCCACAAACTTGTTGAGGTTCTCTTGTGTGTGTGTGTGTGTGTGTGTGTGTGTCCTCTTTTGTTTGCTTGGTTTTCACAGTTCCTTTATACTTTCTCAGTATATAGATAGAACACCAATAAAAGAACACTTAAGCATAAGGTCCTATAAATTTTCTAATTGTTTATGGCAGTAATTCTCAATAGGTAGCAAGTTTGTATCCTCAGTAGGGACATCTGATAATGTCTGGAGACATTTTTGAATGCCACAGTTGAGGAGGGAAGATTGCTGGTGTATCATTGTATAAATACAAGGGAGGCTGCCAAACATCCTACACAGCCTGCATAAAAAAAGCCTCCAACAGCAAAGAATTCTCTGTTCCAAAATGTCAGTGGCTGAGGAATAGGCGGTTGGTTGTTACAGTGGTTAAGATGCCACTTGGGATGATCATATTCCATATTAGAGTGCCTGGTTGAAGTCATCTCTCCTCTGCTTTCAAGCCATCTTCCTGCTAATGTGCAACCTGGGGGACAGCAGATGATGACTCAAGTGTATGGGCCCCCAACACCCAAATGGAATACCTGGACTCAGTCCCTGGCTCCTGGCTCCTGACTTTGGCCTGGTCCAGTCCCAGCTGCTGTGGGCATTTGAGGAATAAACCAACCAATGAAGATTTCTGTGTCTGACCCTCTGTCTGTCAAATAAGATAGAAATAAATAAATAAATAATTTTTAAATGCCAAAAGTTTGGAAATCCTGCTTTTAGGTTGTATAAAATATTATTATGGCCAGTTTAAGCATTGTCTCTGTTCAGTAATTTACAGCACCTAGTCCCATGTGATAACCAAAATTTTAGACATAATTTAAAAATAAAACTCTACCCTCCTCACATTTAGAAGGCAGGCAGGATGTTTTCCTCCTCCTGTCCTTCCCAGGTTTGCACTTCACCTTAACTCTCCTTCTTGCTAACTCAAGTTCATCATTGTTTTGTATTGCAAGCTAGGGGATGGAGGATGAAACAATATCCATACTTCAGCAGTTATAATAAGGCTTCTATTAGTCTTAAAACCAGACCAAAGTTTTATAAGAATATTATCTAATAAAGTGGCTCAAATCCACAAATTATGTCAAAACTTTGGCTAAAATAGTGGAAGGGAGGCCCCAGTTACAATCTGTATTTGTCTTCGAACACAGCAAATTGCCCTCAGTAATTCATAAAACACTTAAATGTATTTAGACTTCACTTAAGGGAAATCAAGAACCCATGTGTTAAATTCATTATTAAATTCACAGTCTGTAGCATGAATCCTGATGATCAGTAGATAGCAAATTTTGTTAGTGAATGAATTTGACACACACTGGAGTTTGAACATAAAGCTGAAAACAAGAAGCTGAGGCTAGCCAACTGATGAAGATGTGAAACATGTTTGAGGCAAATTTGTATTTCTAAATTTTACCTAGAGGTGGTAATTATACATCAGAAAATAAAGTAATAAAAACCTTCTACAGGAATACAAATCACTTTAGATGAAAAAGATTGAGAGGCAGGGGTGTTGGCATAGTGGTTAAGATGCCTCTTTGTGTGCCTGTGAATGGTATTGAGGCAGAGTGCCTGGGTTCCAGTTCCATCTCCTCTTCAAATTCCTATTTCCTATTAATGCAAACTCTGAGAGACAGGAGAGGTAGCTGAAGTACTTAGGTACCAACCGCCTATTTGGGAGGCCTATTGAGTTTCTGGTTCCTGGCTTGGGCCTCGCCCAGCCCTAGCTATTGTGTATTGTGAGCATTTGGGAAGTGAACCAGCAGATGGGAGATAACTCTCTCTCTCTCTTTCTCTCTCTCTCTCATAAAGAAATATATTTTTAAAGACTGATTGAATTACTTCAGCAAGCAAGGCCTTTGAAAATGCCTGCAATTACATAGTGATAATATATAATCAGGCTTAATTGAAATTAACAATGTTAAAGAGGTTCCTCCCTAATTTAGATGAATCTTTTTTATTTTAGTCACATTTTTTGTATAGATACAGATAGGTGGAATTATCTAGATAAAGGTTACAGTATTAAATATAAGGAAATAAAAGTGAAGATAAATTCTTAATACAAGGAACCAACACCATTCTCATTGCACATTCATGTTGCATCAGAACTAATAATTCCATGGGGGCAAATTTTACTCATATGCCCTGTCTAGACTGAAGGGCCTGAGCTGTTAATTCAGGTAGTTGTTCCATAACTACTGTTTTCTATTAATATTTGCATAAAGTAATAATAATAAAGAGGAAATTTACTGAAAGCCTCTGACATTTTTTTTAATCTGCAGTGTTCCGACTGCATCACAGTGCTTCTGATACAAGCGACAAAAACCGAGTTAAAAGCAGATTAAAGAAGTTTATTACTCGAAGACCTTCCCTGAAAACTCTTCAAGAAAAAGGACTTATTAAAGGTACAGAATATCTGATATTTGTACTGTAACTGTAACAAAAGAATGTAACTGTGTGCCTGGATAAGCAGTTCTAAAGGAATATTATGATGTTTTATCCTACTTACAATGCTTATTAAATGTTCTGCTCCATAACAGAGGAAAAAATTGTAGTCCAGAAAATAAATCCTAAGAAAATACATCAGGTATCACTGGAAGAATATCTAGCTTTGACCTCAGATGATCAAGGCTGTGCCCAGGAATGGACAAGAGTTATCCTAGTAGATGGCTAGAATGACCTCATGTCTCCAAATGCCTGTAGAGTAGCAGTTGACACCTGTTGTCTTAATCTATTTAGTAACAGGAGCCCTTTTCACTTTCAGAAATTATCCTGATTTGGATAAGTTATCTGATCACCCAACTCACAGTATGAATCAGTGCCAGGAAGAAAGTCTGAGATAAACTAGTGTCATGAAGTTGTGGATATGGTATGCTAGAATGGCTAAAAGCTCAATTGGTGCTGAACTGGGTAGTTAGGCAAATACACCAAAGGAGAGAATGAAATAACCTAAACCATCTTAGCCAATAGAATAGAAAAACATGGTCTCTGACATCAGGATAATTGGAATTCAGATCTTAGTTCTGTTACTCACTAGAATTTTCACTGAGCTGGTACTAACGTTGTGAGCCTCAGCTTTCCCACTGAGAGAGATAAATGAGATAATCTATGTCAAGCATTTAATAGAGTTTTTGGAATATAAGTAAGTATGTAATGAATGACTTCTGCTATTAATATTATTATCCATTATTGTTAGTGTTTCAGATAGATTGATCAATGTATGGATGAATAGGTAGAATCAATGATACAGTAGATTTCTATAACAGAAAATCACCCTAAAGATCATACAGGCAAAATATATTATTTTCCTGACAGGATAACATATGCATAAGCCCATTATTCTCCTTGTTTCTCAAATGTACATCTTTTGAAAATTAAATATAAGAAAAAATTTTAGATTGGACTAAAATAAACTACTAACCCTGAGAAGAAAGTTGAAAGACTAATTTTTTGAAAAAAAAGTGATTAAATGTACAATCATTTCTCAGGAAGATGGCAGACCTTTGCAGAACTCTTCAGGAATCTTTAGAATGATGATTATTTAAATGTTATGCAATAACTATTTGGTCTATCAGTTTCAGTCCATTTTGAAATAGGTGAACATGTCCTCAAAATGAGCAGGCATTCAGAACCATTTGTAGAAGGTGAAATTTTATGAAGTATGACCATATGTATCACTAATAGAGTAGAAAATGTGGGATTAGCTTTAGTGACTGTTTTCAATGAAATTTCCCTCAGATTTTTACTCTATGAAGTAGAATTAACGTGCCATTTAGAACTATTTAGAAACTGAATCCCTACATTTTCAACTTCATAGAATAACATGCTAGTACCATCAATTCCACCTTGGAATCATCCTGTTCTTGGAAGGGATTCAATTACAGCTTATCTGCCATCTTGAAACATATCAAACACAATTAACAACACAAAGAATCCCAATTTCATATGAAGTCCAAAATTTTTGTGACTAAGGCAAAATCAAAGTGGTTAAATTCAGTGGCTGGGTCTGGCAGCAGTCAAAAAAAAAAAAAAACTAAAGAATTAAGAATTCTTGATCGTGCTCTAGAATTGGTCTCAGAAAGCAGCAGAGAAACTGGATGCCTATGCAGTTTTCATACTGATGCAATGGCACCACTGAACACACTCTGATGCATGCATTTCCTATCTTAGAGCTCCGTTAAATTTTCACCATAGCTGACCAATGAGTCAGTATTCATTAGTAGGGCTATGGAAAATCTATGTGAAATTCTGATTGGATAAGCTTCCATTGTTGTCTTCAGTGGAATTTTTTTCCAAATACAGATCAGGTTATGCAAATGTAGTCATTTCTTGGACTTGTTTCAATTTTAACTGTGAACTTTTTTTTTAAGGCTTTCACTGAGGTTTTTTTCAACCGAATAAAAGACATTAAGCCGTTTTTTAAAAAAATACTCAGTGACATTTAGTGTTTTAGTCAATCTCTTGCAAACTTTTAGCAAAAACAGTAAAATCAGTAATTTTAATTAGCTAAGAACAAGTTAAGTTAATTCTTGGGTTAAATTTATTCCTAAATATTTGATTTTTGTGGCTATTGTGAATAGAATTTCTTTCTTGATTTCTCTCTCTGTGAGTTCATCATTAGCATACAAAAAAGCTATTGTTTATGAGTTTATTTTATAACCTGCAACTTCACTGAATTACTTTATAAATTCTAACAGCTTTTTGGTTGAGTGTTTAGGTTTTTCCATGTACAACATCATATCATCTGCAAACATGGATAATTTGACTTCCTCTTTTCCAGTTTTGGTGCCCTTTCTTTCTTTCTCCTCGCTAATTGCTCTCACTAAAGCTTCCAGTACTATATTGAGAGTGACGAAAGTGGACATCCTTGTCTTGTTCCAGATCTAGGGGGAAATGCTTTCAGTTTTACCCCATTCAGTAAGATATTGGCTGTTGGTTTGTGATACATAGCCTTTATAATTTTGAGGAATGTTCCTTCTACACCTAATTTGTGGAGAGTTTTCATCATGAAGGAGTGTTGGATCTTATCATATGCCTTCTCTGCACCTATTGAGATGACCACATGATTTTTGATCTTCATTGTGTTGATGTGATTTATGGTGTTTATTGATTTGTGAATGTTCAGCCACCCTTGAGTTTCTGGGATAAATCCCACTTGATCGTGACGTATGATCTTTTTCTGTGGTTTTGGATTTGATTTACTAATATCTTATTGATAATCTTTGCATCTATGTTCATTAAGGATATAGATCTATAGTTTTCTTTTTGTGTTATGTCTTTGGTTTTAATATCAAAGTAATGCTACCCTCTAACATTCATTGATGAATGAAATCATCAAAGACACAAAAAATGGAAAGATATTCCTTGCTCATGGATCAGAAGACTCATTTTCATTAAACTGTCTTTACTACCTAAAACAATCTACATAATAAGTGCAATTCCTATCAAAATACCAATGACTTTCTTTACAGGACTTGGTAAAGCAACCCTGAAATTCATAGGGAATCACAAAAGACACAGAATAGGCAAAGCTATCCTGAACAAGAAAAATCAAGCTGGAAGCATCACAATAACTGACTTCAAAGCATTCTACAAAGCTATAGTAATTAAAACAGGATGGTACTGGCATAAAAACTGATACATAGATCAATGGAATAGAATAGAGAGCTGAGAAATTATCCACATACATACAGCCAACTGATTTTTAAACAGAAGTGCTCAGACCATACAGAAGAGTAAGGGTAGTCTCTTCAGCAAATGGTGCTGGCAAAACTGGATTTATATATGTAAAAGAATGAAGTTAGATCCATACCTCTCACCATGTACAAAAATCAACTCCAGATGGATTAAAGACTTAAATTTAAAACCTGAAACTATGAACCTAAAGAAAATGTAGAGGAAACACTCTAAGACTTTGGTGTAGGGGACAACCTGTTGGACAAGACCCCCAAAGCATAGGAAACAAAAGGAAAACTAAATAAATTGTATGATATCAAACTCAGAAGCTTTTGCATAGCAAAAGAAATGATCAATAGAGCGCAGAGATATCTAACAGAATGGGAAAAATATTTGCCAACCACCTATCTGACAAAGGGTTAATATCCTAAATATATCAGTAACAAAAACTCAACAATAACAACAACAACAAAATTGCAGTTGAGAAATGGGCAAAGAACTTTAATAGACAGTTCTCAAAAGAAGAAATAGAAGTGGCCAAGTAATATATGAAGAAATGATCAACATCACTAACCATCACAAAATGCAAATCAAAACGACAATGAGATATCACCTCACTCCTGTCAGGATGGCTAAAATCCAAAACACAGAGACTACCAAATGCTTGGGAGAATGTGGACCAAGGGGAACACTTTTATACTGTTGGTGGGAATGTAAATTACTGCAGCCACTGTGGAAAACAGTATGGAGATTTTAAAAAAAAAAAATAGAAATATACCTGCCACATGATCCAGGAATCCCATAATTTTTATATACCTAAAATATTTGAACACAGTGTATCAAAGAGATACCTGTTTCACCATGTTCATAGAAACATGTTCATAATAGCCAAAATTTGGAATCAAGCATAGTTTCCATGATCATTTGAAAGAATAAAGAAAATGTGGTATATATACACAATGGGATATTATTCAATTATAAAAAAGAATGAGATTCTACCCTTTGCAGCAAAATGGAGGGAACTGGAGGACAACATGTTGAGTGAAATAAGCCAAAGCCCAAAAGACAAATGCCACATTTTCTCCATTACATGTGGGAGCTAAAACGTAAAAAAAAATTACCCATATTTCTGGAAATATAGTCTTGCAAAACCTATTTTATACCTTTGTGAAACCAATGGTTAAGAATGTTTTACGGCCGGCACCGTGGCTCAATCCTCCACCTAGCAGCGCCAGCACACCGGGTTCTAGTCCTGCTCGGGGCGCCGGATTCTATCCCGGTTGCCCCTCTTCCAGGCCAGCTCTCTGCTTTGGCCCGGGAGTGCAATGGAGGATGACCCAAGTGCTTGGGCCCTGCATCCCATGGGAGACCAGGAGAAGCACCTGGCTCCTGCCATCGAATCAGTGCGGTGCGCCGGCTGCGGCGGCCATTGGAGGGTGAACCAACGGCAAAGGAAGACCTTTCTCTCTGTCTCTCTCTCTCCCTCTCTCACTGTCCACTCTGCCTGTCAAAAAAAAAATAAATAAATAAAAAGAATGTTTTACTACTGTAGTTTTAATGATCTGTGATTATTTTAAAATTACTGTATTGGAAAATGATCAGTTTTCTATTCAATTATTACTTATTTCCATTGTCTATATTCCCTCTCAACTAGGGTCTTTTTGCTTTTTACTTGTTAAACTTCGTGTTTGGTGAAGTGTTAAACGTTAATTAATAGAGTACCTGAAAT